TTTTTTTTTTCATTTTAAATTTTGCTTATTATAATGTTGAAATTGGGCACTAATTGAATTTTTTTTTTTTTTTTGTGGTTTTGTATGTTAATGTTCTAATTTTGACAAGTAAAAATCTCCTTATCCCTTTAAATTTCATTAAATTTAATTGAATTTTCATTTTTCCCTCAAAATTTATGAAGGTATGAAGTTGAGCAAATATTGTTTAATATACTCATATGAATTTACTTTGGTATTGTAAGTGAGATATTATTCCTAATTCATGAGATTTGAATCGATTTAGTTTCTCATTTTGAGTTATATTTTGGTAATTTGTAACTTTTTTTCCATTTAAATTCAAACATATCTTATAATTTTTTTGTAAATGCTAATAATTGTTGAAATTTTCATAATTTTTAAAAGATATGTTAGATTTTATAAATTTAACTAAATTTTTACATTTAGTTTTTAGTTTATTTAATTATTGATTTTTCTTTCAATTTCATTATATATATATGTATTAACTTTATTTTACAATGGCTTATATATGAAAATATTGAGTTATTAAATAAATATAACTGTTATATATCATTAATCCCATTTGCAACTTATTTTTGTAGTATAAATTAATGCCAAATGTGATTTATGAATATTTTAAATTTTCTATTCTAGAACATATACTTAGCATTTTGGTTTATATGAGTAAATTTTTTTCTTTAATAGTACTTAGCATGTTAACTCACGTCGATAAATGTTAAAAATCATTAAATACAACAAATATTAATAATACTTTTTATATTGCTCTTTAATAGTATAGTATTGTGTCTCATATGGGTGATAAAATATAAACTTTGAAATACTTTTACACACATTTATGCAACTATAAAATCCTCATGGGTGAAATATAAGATTCACTCATGTAGAATCAGTTGCAATATCAAGTAAGATATCATGTGTGATATTAGATGGAGTCAAATCGAATCGTCAACACACCTTTAAACATTAATAGGGTGCATGTGGGTGAATGTGAAATGTAACATTCACCCACATGTTTTGCCTTGCTATTTATGATTGAGGATTTTGAATAAACACCTCGATGACCAATAAATAACATTAAATACCACATGCATGAAAGTGAAATATTCATCTTCAAGTACAATCCACCTTACTAAGTCTTTTATTGAAAGACCTAACTGTCACAAGACATTTACCTACAATCTTAGCAATGCAGAGACAATTTTACCCACATAAAGAAGGTTTTCAAAAAGATAGATCCACATTGTTGAAACTCTACATTTTAGGAGTGAGTGAGAATCGGAAGAAATACATATTATTAAGATTTTGAGATGTGTAGAGTTACATGTAGTAACCTTTTAGGTTAAATGCCAATTTTAGTCCCTCAACTTTAAGGTTTTATACAATTTTCGTCCCTCAAATATTTTATGCCCTTTTTGATCCCTCAACTCAAAAAATTGCATAATTTAGTCCCTCCATCAATTAAGTCACACTTGACCATTAAAATATTCCAAAATGGCACTTTTTTTATGACATGTAATAACATATTATATAATTAGCTTATGTGGACAAAAAAATGCCAAGTCAAATTCCACAACATCCATTGAACAATTTACAAATTAAAGGATAAAAATACAATTCTACCCACATTTTCATCCTTTTCGTGGTTCTCCTTCTCTCTCACTATTCATCTTCCCTTCTCCTCTACCATTGTTTATCTCCCCCTCCTTATCCTTTCTCTAGCCACTCACTTCCTCCCTTTTCCTTTCCTAATCATCCTAGCCTTTTCTCTCCTCCTCACTTTGAAAATCCAAAATCACTATATTTGAAAAAAAAAAAAAAAAAAAAAAACCATTTCTAGGTTCAACGAACATGATTTAGGTTCAAAAAAACTCATATTCAAGTGTCACAAACCTAGATTCTTCTAAGGATTTTTGTTGTTGTTTTTGATAGATTTTAATTGTCATTTCATTTTCAATGATTATGTGTGTTTTTAATGGTGTTTGTGTAGTTAATTAAAAAGGTCTGTTTTGTATCTTTAAGTTATTATATAGAGGGAAAGGGATAAAGGAAGGAGGAGGAGAAGGAGAAAGATGAAAGGAGAGAATGTCGA